CACGTACAGACAGTGTAAAAAGCAGCCAATTTTTACAAACTGTCATTTACAGACAGTTGGCAACCCTGGACGGGACCTAGAGTTGAGAGGTTTAAAGTTATCAGTCATAAATGTGAGAAATGCTTCAGCCAAAGGTATGCGCACACCTGTTCCGCCTAAACCCTACCTCAAGGGAAAATGTCATTATTAACAATGTCTATATTACAGAGAAGTTGAATAATTGTGCTCCACTAATAAATTCATTACTGAATAATCCATTTTAGTGGAAATGACCGTGTAAACAATTTCTCTTGTGCAGAGCAATGTAACATCTTTGTACCAACATCGTGAACTACACTCAGCAATGCACAAAATCTGGTCTGGTCACTTAAAGTGTTACTAAACCCAGGACCCTGCATTCACTATATCTGATCTCCCACAGTACACAGAACATGGAAATGCAATTATTTTAGTAAATATAAACTGTTAAATACCTTTTCTCATTAGCAGTTAGAGCAATCTTGTGACTTCTATCAGTTTCCAGAAGAGCGCTGGTTAAAGCTTGTAAGAGGAGTTTTCATTTTGCACTAGGAGGATGCATGACCCCTGACCTTTGTCTGGACAGTGCTGATTGGTCCTATGCTGATCACATGCACCCTCCCCCCAAAAAAAACCTCTCTAGCAACACACCAAACTGAGCATGTGCAGAGTGACTCCACAGGTAGGAAAAAAAAACGGATGTCACTGACTGGAGAAAAGATGCTGTCATTCTGACGTGAGGTCTGGTGGTATGGTCAGATAAATGGCTATCTGCAGGTGCTAACCTACACATCTGTTATCTTTAATGTAGTGAGGCAGGTGGCACATATAGCATGTGTAGCACCCTCTAGTGTGCTACAAATGTAGTGTAGGTAAGTCTATTGCGTATTACTCATGCAGGGGCGGACTGACCATTCAAGCACTCGGCACTGCCCGAGGGCCCGGGGTCAGTAGCGGGCCCCATGAAATGCCCCTAGTACCTTTTTTATAGGCTTTTTTGAGTGTGGGCAAGGACACAGGCGCCCCATGATCCCCTATTACCCGGGGGCCCCATGAGTTGTCAGTCCGCCCCTGGACTCATGGTAACTGTGTGAGACTGTGATTAAGGTCGGGTTACTGCAGGTCAAGCTGGATGGCTTAACAAGTTGGGACTCTTTCACCTCCACTTGGTTCTGAAGGACCCATGGAACCTTCCAGAAGCCAGTGGGCGGAAGAGGTGGAGACCTAATATGCATGTTTATGAGAGTCTAACCAATCCCAGGTTTGGAGGCTCTGGTAGAGTGATGAGACCAACCCATAAATATGGGATAGTCAGGCCAGCAGGGAGTCGGCTGGAAGATGGAGTGCTAAGGAGACTGTCCGTTGTCTGGGAAGGAGCCCATAGGTCTAAGGGGGCTGGACTCCAGGTTGGGCTCAGGCTGGATCAGGAGGATCCATTCAGCATCACCGCATGAACAGGATAAAGGCCGGGGAGCAGTGAAAGCAAGGAGGACAGAGTGAGTACATCAGAACACTCAGGGATTTACAATGAAGAGACTACCACAGGTAGTAAGATTTCAAAGGACAGCGCTGTGCTTAATCCTTTATCCTTGTCCTGGGAGATCTTCAGATCAGCCAGGAGGGCTGGTAGTTTTGCAGGCTGTAGAGCTGGGAGAAGTTCTACTGAAGAGAAGAGACATCTCTGCATGTAGTTTGCAACAAGCTAAGCTAACTTTCAGTGGGGACTGCAAGTCCCTACCTTGTAAGGGATATTTGCTACTAACCTGTAATAACTGACCACTTTCAAGGAAAAGAACAGTCCAGGATCTGTTTCTATAACTAGGAAGCAAGTTGTCTCTTTGCAATGATTCAGTTAAGTTGGGCATCCCATAATCCCTATCCAAGTTATACCCCTTCCCCTGATAAAATACCAAAAAGCAAGCTCATGGACTGTTCATTGACTGCGGCTGCAAGTGTGGAAAATGCGTGTTGCTTGGCTGTGTGATGCTTAGAGGGATCCAGAAACACAGCAGCCCTCAAGAGGGTAGCGCTACACATGGTTCCTCCAAGTCTGTAGTATGTAGCTCCCGCTTGGTGGCCCCTCCTAGATCAAGTGTGTTATATGCACTATAACGCATACCCAAAAAGTGTCCTCAAAGTTTTTCCCAAATCACTGTAGTTTTTGGTGGACACTTTGGTCTGCATGTATACTAGCCAAAAATGATAATAAAGACATATGAAATGAGATAGGAATCTGTACATTGAATACCACCATTACATGTATTAATGGCAGATAGTTATCAGAATACATCATTTTTTGGGATTGTGCACCTTTAATGTATGCATGGGTATATGAAAAAGAGTAGGAAAGCAAGATATACTATCCTGGGGCCAGTGGACTTTCCATTTACTCCTGCAGGACAAAGGAAAAGCAGATGACACAAGCCCTTGTTTGTGTTGCCAGTTTAGGGGAGCGGTGGTGGGGGCAACGAACACAGAAACACAATAGTCTGCAGAGAATAACAGAGTCCGGTCTAGAAGAATAGACCCATTACTGCCATCAAATGACCCCTCCCTGCACAGCTGTGCGAGGAACCTAGATATATAAATATATATATATTTCGATCCAAATGACACGCGCCCTGTGAGCCCAGAATAAAACCCCATTGTATCTTTTTCTATGGGGAACAGAAGAGGCGCACAGAGAAAAACCAGCAGCCTCCCTCCTCTGGATGGGCGGGGGAAGGAGTATCTCCATAAGATATGACAGGCGCTCTTATTTTTTATGAATCGCCCTCTGCATCTGGTGAGGAAGAGTTAGACTGTGTGACTTGTCCCACTGTCTTGTCACTGAGACAGATGCGAGAATATTGAGGGTCTGTTAACTCTGCCATTGCCTATCACAAAGGGCTGGCCAAGCAAGATGGATTTTAGCTTAGCAGCCAACTCACAAAGCTGAGACTCGTGGTAACAATATTGGATAAGTGGGGCTAAGAAGGATTCATATTTTTTGGAATGTGATTGATTTTTTTTTTAAGGACCAAACATGAATTATGGTTTGCAGAAAGATTAACTCTTCAGCATTTGAGGTCTTTTACGATATGTCTTTGGGCTCATGTCCCTTTGCCCTTGTCAAACACAGCCAATTACACTCAAACTCAGTGCTGTTAAAAACGCATGCTTTTGAATGGCAATTGCAGAATTGATAAGAAAAGGCCACTTGCCACCTCTTTTGGGTGAAGTTCAAATACACAGCAATGCTGCGTCCAAAGAAACGCAATTCAAAGCAACTCAAATGCAGCCCCTGAGCTTTCATATCCACTACTCCACTGAAGTTAATAGAAGTTGAAGTTAATAGAAGTTAATACTGAAGTTAATAGAAGTTGCTGACGCCTGTGACTATGAGTCCTTAAAAAGACTGGTATTTAAAGCACAATTAAACTCTGTCATTAAAAAAATGGCTCCTGGGAGCTTTAAACTACAATGTACTAGTCTGCACTAAATATTAGCACATTATGGCAAAATTAAACCTGCCAAATCATCCCCTGTGGTGTCAGTGCTCTCGGCTGTCTCAGGTGCTTCTATCCTCTCCTGGTCTTCCTTCCAGTTTCAGATTCTTCAGCCGCTTACCCACAGAAGTCACATCATTATAGAACAGAGCCATGCCTTAAATGTACGCTGAGCTGCACATGTGTGGCTCAGTGTACGTTAAAGATTAAAACATATAGTGGCTAAATGGTTAGCACTTCCGCCTGGCAGTACTAGTGTTGTTGGTTCGAATCCCAACCATGGCACCACCTGCCTGGAGTTTGCATGTTCTCCCTGTGCCTGCATGTGTTTCCTCCCACACTCCAAAGATATGCTGGCAGGTTAATTGGCTCCTGTCTAAATTGTCCCTAGTATATGAATGTAAGTTAGGGACTTTAGATTGTATGCCCCTTGAAGGTTAGGGACTGATGTGAATGTACAATATATATGTAAATTGACAGTGCTATATAAGTATCTGTAATAATAAATAAAAGTGTAGTGCCAATCATGAAATAGTGAAACTGAAATAAAGTCAAAGAAAATATAATAAAAGTATAATAAACATCAATAAAATAAAAAAAATCAGTGAGAAAAATTTAAATGATGTCCGTCCACCACCATAAAGTGCTCTTTCTTGCAGCAAAATAATTCACAAATGTCGTCACCATCTCTCAGTGAATTGCAAACTCACCAGAAATTATGTCTGCCACTACAACAGCCTAAGTGCCCGTGTGTTTAAACAAAGATTCCAAAGGTGCACATGTCTTGGCATATGACTGTATTGACAGATGTCACTCTGTTTAGCTAAGCTTCAGTGAAATAAAGCTCACCACGAACAAATAGACTTCCAATAGTATAGTATTTATAAAAATATGATAAGGTTAATAACAAGTAAAACAAAAAATGTCAGCTTACATAAATAGCCGCTACCGACCCAGAATCGGTATGACGTCAGGACTGTATACTCCTCCCCGACGCGTTTCGTCCAATAGAACATTATCTTTACCCCTTGATAATGCCTTGTCTCCAGTGTAGCCAGTTCACACCACTGTGTTGCAGTAGTGTGCAGGCAGTGTGCACCAAAAAAAAGTACTGTTTGAAATATATGTTTTTCTAGTGCAATGCAGTCACAGCACAATGGTGTAACATTTCAGTAAAACTTGTTTAGCCACTTCAGTACTGGGCACTGTCACCCCCTTCCTGCCCATGCCATCTTTCAGCTTTTAGTACTGTCACATTTTGAATGACAGTTGCGTGGTCATGCAACATTTTACCCATATGAAATTATAATTTTTTTCAGACAGATAGAGCTCTCTTTTGGTGGTATTTGATCAGCACTGTGTTTTTTATTTTTTCTAAAACGAAACAAAAGGCCAAAAACTTAAAAAAAAAAAAGTTTCACTGATGTGGCTGAGGAGGTTGCACTGAGGGGCACTAATGAGGCTGCACTGATGGGTGCTGGTGGGGCTGCACTGATGGGCACTGGTGGGGCTGCACTAATTGCCACTGGTGAGGCTGCACTGATGGGCACTGATGAGGAGGCACTGACAATTCTGTATTAATGAGGCAGCACTGATGTGCATTAATAGGCAGCACTGATGAGCACTAAAATGTTGCAATGATGGGCACTGATAAGCTGCACTGATCATCAGGGCACTGATGATCAGTGCCCTAATTATCATTGTAAACGTGTCCTGTCAGGATTGTTAGTTTTCGGTGCTGGAGACATGTTCTGGGAGGACATCTTTGGATGCCCTCCCAGAACAAGAGAGCAGCACTGTAGCCATCTTTCCACTATGACATGGTAAGGAGGTGGTTAAAAAGAGTGAACAGTGTGATGCGCTGGGATCAGTGCATCAGCACTGCCTTTACCACAATGCACAGCAGTTGCTGTGTTGCAATGCAATGGCTGGTGTGAATGTACCCTTAGGGCAGTGTTTCTCAACTCCAGTCCTCATGGACCCCCAACAGGTCATGTTTTCAGGATTTCCATTATTTTGCACAGGTGATTTGATCAGTTTCACTGCCTTAGTAATTACCACAGCTGTTTCATCTGAGGGAAATCCTGAAAACATGACCTGTTGGGGGTCCATGAGGACTGGAGTTGAGAAACACTGCCTTAGAGCTACATAACACTGTGTTAGGACTACAGAATACCTCTCTCCCTTCTCCATAACTAGGGAAGATGCTTTGTTATTCATGCGTGTAGCACTACCTCCGTAGGAGCCGCTTGTTTGTTGCCCCGGTTCCCCCTTACTTCACCCCACAGCCAGGCACAGTGTATTTCCGCAGCCAAATACACTCACACACACTTCAGCTCGTTGTCTTCAATGACCAGTCTAGGGGATGTTTTGTTTTTGGAGTTTATTGTAGAACTGTCGATAGTATTGGGGAATGTAGTAGGATACTCTAAATCAGAACCAGACTGACAACTCATGGGGCCCCGGGGCAATAGGGGATCATGGGGCCCCTGTGTCCTTGCCCAAACTAAAAAAAGCCTATGAAAAAGGTACCAGGGGCATCTCATGGGGCCCCCTACTGACCCCGGGCTCTTGGGTAGTGCCCGAGAGTTTCCAAATGGTCAGTCCGCCCCTGATCAGAACTATTCCCAATGAGGACATATCGCTGATTTCTTAGTTGGTTGAGCACTTGTGATGTCTTGGACTGACAGCAGACTTCCCTTTGTCACATATGGCAGCAAGTAGTTTAGGAGTGAGTAAAGTCCCTTTAGCAGTAGTAGTAGTTACAGGGCTGAGCTCCTCAACTATAAGTCAGCTACAACAGACTGAGACAGCCCAAAGGTAACGTAGCTGAGAAACGTCCTTTGCAGTAGCAACACTTGGACAAGGTTTTCAGAACACTAGCCAGTGTTCCCTTTTTCCAGACCCACGCTGACTATCAAACCCCAGGGGAGGTAGCAAGCACACAGCGTCCCCAAGTTCCTCAATGTCAGTACTCACAAGGCTCAAGAATAGAAAGGTTGCCTCTTTCCAAACTTCCAAGGGAAACCCTCCAGTGATACCAGACAGAGCCTTGGCAGACAACTCCCTTTAGTCAGCTTCCTGCAAAACCAGGGCGTCTCTCTAGCTTCAGGCCCTCAGGTTGACCCATCTGAGGCCACATAGCAGCCAGTGCCAGGCGAAGCATCCTACCTCCAGCCTGGCTGGTGCAATCCAATCCCGGGAAAGACACTGCACCCATGAGCTCTCAGAATAGAAATACCACTTCCAGCATGCAATGGGACTGCCTTCCCCTGCAATTGGCCAGGACTGCATCCATATCCATGCTGTTCCTTTGCCTAGCCCCTACCCATGTTCTGGAAGGCTCTCATAGCTTCCTGAAGGCGGGCAGAACTCAAACTCCAACAGTCCAGAGCAACGTGAGCAGACCTTACTAATCCATCACAGAACTCTGTTAAGCAGAATACCACACTGAATTTATCTGACAGCCTCTCTGGTAAGCAGAGAAACACAGCTATATGTAATGTGTTACTAAACTCACAACAGTGAAAACAGTCTGTATATGCAGTAAATCATGCTTGTTATACTCACTGTGGCACCTAAGGGGTTAATCCTCTGCATTGTGTAAAAATGCTGTTTGATCCTAACTTCTCTGATCATCCCCTTCTTCCAGTGACATATCATGTGGAGTCACTCTGCACCATGCTCAGTTTGGTCTGTATTGCTAGAGAGGTTTTGTTTTTTTTTTTTTTTGTCTTGGGAGAGTGCATGTGATCAGCGCAGGGCCAATCAGCGCTGCCCAGACAGAGGTCACAGGTTCTGCATCCTCCTAGAGAACACTCCTACAAGCTTTAACCAGTGCTCTGCTGAACACTGATAGAAGTCACAAGACTACTCTAACTGCTGATGAGAAAAGGTATTTAGCAGTTTATATTTACTAAAATAATTGCATTTCCATGTTCTGTGTACTGTGGGAGATCAGATATAATGAATGCAGGGTCCAGGGTTTAGTAACACTTTAACCTAACTATGCACATCCTAACACCTAACTAGGAGGCTGCTACATGGGGATAACAAGGAACAATGCTATCTGATAACAGTTCAGAGGTAGAGAGAACAGGTTATCAGCTCACAATATTTCTGGATGGATGAACAGCTCATTTTTTTTTTGCACTTGTCAAACAGATATAATAAAACACCTTTAATGGTATATTTAACAGACCAGAAGGGAGCAAATAAGAGAAATGTATCGATTGAGGTTTACATACATTTTTAAAACATATTTTCTTAGACACGAGTCGTGTAAGTACCTGAGTTTGACTTAGGTGTCCATTTATGAACCAGCGGTAATAGATCGCTGCTCAGTTCTCCGGCATTCTCGGAGAACACAGTTCTCCTGTGAATGCAGTTTATGAAGCAGTTCTCCGAACGAAGGGAGAACGATCGCCAAACGCTGGAGAATGGTCTACAAACTCTGGAAAACGGCTGATTTTACTATAATCTCGCGAGATTACAGTAAAAGATCAGTTTACTAAACAGAGGTAAATTATCTCTGCTTAGTTTTCGGTCCCTCTGATTCTCCAGCTCTGGGCTGGAGAATCTGGAGGGAGAACACAGATCTCCAGTGAAGGGCTGACATGATCTCCTGAGTGTCATAAACTGTGAATGACCAGAGAATAGCTGAGATCCGTTGAATCGCAGCTATTCTCTGTGTCATAAACGAACACCATAGTATCCGCCTCATGCCATCCCTGGGCAGCAGAACTGACACTGGGAGAGAAAGAAGCAGTTGGTTGCATCCAGGGGCGGACTGACAACTCATGGGGCCCCCGGGCAATAGGGGATCATGGGCCCCTGTGTCCTTGCCCAAACTCAAAAAAGCCTATGAAAAAGGTACCAGGGGCATATCATGGGGCCCCTACTGACCCCGGGCCCTCGGGCAGTCCCCGAGTTTCCAAATGGTCAGTCCGCCCCTGGTTGCATCACTAATGTGATATAAAGGGACATACAGATAGGAGGAGAGAGCAGGGTGACAGAAAGATGAGCAAAAGTCTGCTGCTGTCCGGTCACATATTGGTTGAGGGATAAGACATGTGAAGCAGAGAAAGTTAAACTCTGTTTTCTTGCAACTGTGCTGTGTGACAGAGTTGGGAAAATTTCAGGACAAACAAAAGTACAAATTCTGTGACAGGTGCTCCCATATACAGTATTTATTATATCTGTAATTTTAGCTGTTTGCCTGTTTGCATTCAGTTTTAGGCCATGTACACACAGACATAATTAGGCATAAAATATGCCTAGGGTAAAAGACATGTTTTCCAGCAGCTGGGGAACAGCAGGTAGGGGGATTTAAACTCCTTCCTGATTCCCCAGAAGGCAATCCGATGCAGAATGTGTCTTATAGATTTTATGTATTTTTTATCATCATAATATACATCTTAAAGCAATATTAAACCCAAAAACAAAACTGCAATATATTGCAGCTTACCAGTGCTTAGATGGGGTGGCTGCATTAGTTGCTATCTTTAGACTTTGTTTTCCATTATTTTCACCTGGTGATCCAGCCAGTAAGTCTGTTATTTTTTCAACTTAGGGCAGCACACTGGCTAAATGGTTAGCACTTCCGCCTGGCAGTACTAGGGTCATTGGTTTGAATCCCAGCCATGGCACCACCTGCCTGGAGTTTGCATGTTCTCCCTGTGCCTGTGTGGGTTTCCTCCGGGTACTCCAGTTTCCTCCCGCACTCCAAAGACATGCTGGAAGGTTAATTGGCTCCTGTGTAAATTGTCCCTAGTATGTGTATGTATGAATGTGAGTTAGGGACCTTAGATTGTACACCCCTTGAGGGTTAGGGACTGATGTGAATGTACAATATATATATGTAAAGCTCTGTGTAAATTGACTGCGCTATATAAGTACCTGAAATAAATAATAAGTAACTTGCTTTACCACACCAAGCTGTCCAGACATTAGAGCAGGGTCCTCAAACTTTTTAAACAGGGGGCCGGTTTACAGACCTTCACACTGTTGGGGGGCCGGACTATAGTTTGAAAAATATGAACAAATTCCTATGCACACCGCATATATCTTATTTGTTGTGCAAAAAAACAGGAAAAAAAATACATTATTTAAACTGCACTGTACACTGTAACGCACTGGACACCTAAATGCACTGTACACTGTATCGCACTGGACACCGCAATGCACTGTACACTGTAACGCACTGGACACCTAAATGCACTGTACACTGTATCGCACTGGAACCGCAATGCACTGTACACTGTAACGCACTGGACACACAATGCACTGTAGACTGTAACGCACTGGACACTGCAATGCACTGTACACTGTAACACACTGGACATCACAATGCACTGTACACTGTAACACTGGACATCACAATGCACTGTACACTGTAATGCACTGGACAACGCAGCGCACTCCTCACTGCAATGCACTGGACACCGCAATGCACTGTACTCTGTAATGCACTGGACACCGCAATGCACTGTACTGCACTGGACACCGCAATGCATTGTACTCTGTAATGCACTATACACTGGACTCCATAATGCACTGTATACACTGGACACCCATAATGCACTGTACTCTGTAACGCACTGGAATGCACCCCCCCCCACAATGCTGATACTGTAATGCACTGTACTCTGTAACTCTGTACACTTAATGCCACTGGACACCGCAATGCACTGTACACTTTAATGCACTGGACACCGCAACGCACTGTACTCTGTAACGCACTGGACACCGCAATGCACTGTACACTGTAATGCACTGGACACCGCAATGCACTGTACACTGTAACGCACTGGACACCACAATGCACTGTACACTGTAAACGCACTGGACACCACAATGCACTGTACACTGTAATGCACTGGACACCGCAATGCACTGTACTCTGTAATGCACTGGACACCGCAATGCACTGTACTCTGTAACACACTAGACACCGTAACACACTGCACTGTACACTGTAACGCACTGGACACCACAATGCACTGTACTCTGTAATGCACTGGACACCACAATGCACTGTACTCTGTAACACACTGTACTCTGATACACTGGACACTGCAATGCACTGTACCTCGTGCCTGGTGTGCTCTCTTCCTTTTCTGTCCTGTTGCTCCTCTGGCTGCAGCAAGTAAAATCCGGGACTTGCAGCCAAGGACCCAGCGAGCAGCCTAGCTATTTGCCAGCCAGCGTGGGGGTTTTTTTTTCTGATTTTTTTTTTTCTGGCTGGCCCAGTGTGGCGGATAAAATGTCTTCGAGGGGGGGGGGTGTAGTTTGAGGTCCCCTGCAATAGAGGGTTGAGACAGACCATTTACAACTGACAGGGAAGCTGTCAGAAAATTAGTACAGCTCATGCTAGCTCTTCTACAGCTCATGCTAATTCTCGTGCAGCCACTGCTCATTCCTGTGCAGCTAATGCTCGTGCACATCTACCAGCATACAGACAAGCTTAGGCTAATAGCCAGTGACATGTAGGTGCATGTATGTGTACCAGCGAGCATTGGCACGCATGTCTTTGCGCTATGGTGCCAAGCTGCCTATTTAAAGGAGACTAATCGCGGGATGTTCTTCAGCTTCCTGTGATCTGCGTCCCTATGTTCCTGCTTGTACTGACTGATCTTCCGTTGCTGACCCAGCTTGTTCCTGACTATTCTCTGCCTGGTCCCCTGGTGCTGACCTCGATTTGCTACTGGAATTCGCTCTGCTTGCTAACCTGGTACCGAACCCAGCCTGCCTCCTGACCACGCTGCTGTCTCACTGTGCAAATCAAACAAAAATCAGCTAGCGCTCAGGACAATAATTGTGCAAGCTGCATATGCACCAGAAAAGGAACCCTAAAGTCTTGCAAACAATCTAAAAAAACAGTGCAGCGCTATAATAATAAATATAAATTAAAAATGAATGTGTAATATAATCAATAATATTACTAAATCAAATCATCCAAATTAAATAGTGATATATATAATGTAAGTGAATAAAGAGCTATATTAGGCGCTAAAAAATAAATGTGATCATGCAAACAGTCTTTTAACAACAAAAGTGTTCATAAATTAGTGCAGGCTTGATGCGATCAGGTCAGCATACAGTGCTCCATAAAGTCCTAATGCACTTGTGACATCCAATATATCCGTGTGACTTAATCCATGTGAAAGACTGTAAGAAATGCGCACTCACCAGATGCGCATGATTAATGCGCAATATGCTGAATATCAATCTGTAGGAAACCCCCTTTAAATGGATCTGCATGGAACCAGGCTCCCTCCTCTGGACACAAGCCTCCTCTGCAGCCATGCTTCCACTGGGGTTCATGGGAATCCTTTTGACCTGCTTGTGGGGAAGAGCCGCTGAGCCTTCTCCAGAAACCGCAAGGCCTTGTCCGCATTCTGGCTCTTGATGGCGATCAGCGCGATGGATATACAGCGCTCCACCTTGTCTCACTGTGCATGACTCTGGCTCACCTTGACTACATCCCTGACCGTGGCAGTCACTTCCTATCAAGCTACCGGCACCCATGCTTCTTTGAGCCTTGTACCTCTGGTCACCACATTCAGGAGTGCTCGGACCGAAGCCACAAAGGAAACCTTCTCGTCAACTCGCCCTCCAACCGTGGTACCTGACAGGTGCTTACAATTGTCAACTTATATTCATTTATGTAAAACTTTTATTACAAGAGGAAAAAAAACTGTTGCTGTAAGGCTCCATTCAGATTACCGTGTCTGCAAAGTTGCACGATTTCCAGTGCGACTTTGGATTGCGACTATGATATGACTTTTGGTGTGACTTTGATTTGACTTTACATTTTGTGGACCAAAGCTGCATCAAAATAGTGCAGGCACCTTTTCAAAATTGGTGTGACTTTAACCTCCCTGGCGGTATTCCCGAGTGTAGCTCGGGGTAAAGTTTTAGTACCCACAAGCGGTAACCCCGTGCTACACTCGGGCTTACCATGCAGGCGCTGCTCCACGATCCCTCGGCCACTTACCTTGTCCTGCGCTCCCGCGATGTCCCTCCTGCAGTGTCCCCGGCAATGTAATCCGGCGGATGCCGGCATCTGTCATCTGGGTTCCGTCCCTTGCTAGCGTCGGGACAACGGGGGACAGAACGGCGGGAAATTTGAAAATGACAAAAAGTGACATTCCTTAAAATCACATAGTAAAACATTACTGTATCAAAGCATTTCACATACATTTTGTCCCGAGTGCTTTGTCCTGTGCCCTGCCTGCATTTTTACTGTTCTTTCTGCCTGGAAACTGAGAAACGTCCATGGCATCCAAAAAGCATCCCTTTAGGTCAAAAGCGGTTTTTAGATCAGCTAGAGAACAGCGATAGTAAATCAGAACCACTTGCAGAATTGAGTGATAATGATTTGTGGGGAAATTTGTCATCAGACACTGAAAACGATTTTGGGACTTTGCTCAGTGATGTGCGAACTTGGCGCTATATTTCAAATTTCAGTGATTTTGGTTTGATTATATTATTGAATTAAATTTATTATAATATTATTATTTTTTATGATTATTTATTAAATTATAATTTATGATTTCGTGTTTCAAGTTTTATCATACCCAGGATGTTTACTAGACTCTTGTTCGGACAGATTTCAGTGAGTTATTCCTAAAAATTACAGGCCTACAATAAAAAAAATACATATTTCCATGCAAAAAATGTACCGCTTTGAGCACAGAAAAATGGACATAATCAGACCGCTAGGGAGGTTAAGTTGCACCAATTTGAACGGGTGCCACTGAAAAGAATGGGGAGCTGCGACTTGTCATGCAAATTTGATGTCCAAAGTCGCATGATAAGTCACATGGCTTAAAACGCGTTAACTGGAGTTTGGCTTGTTAGTCAAGTCCATCTAAATCTTGTAGTCTAACATTGCCCTCCCCCCAGATTTACAATGCTGCTGTCTCTTGCTCTTCCATCCAGAATGGAGACCCTAAGAT